ATTAAGCCCAGATCAAGTCATTGAACCACACTTAAAATGATTTTCGGACATATTTAGAAGAGCAAACAGTTGTCGAATATGATAAGTTTATACTCGAAACGAGCGGCTCGATAAGACTAATCCAACGGGCCCAAGATCACTCAGTTTTAACATCATTAAGGCACTCAAATGTCCATTAAAAGCCGTATGATTGTGGGAATCTCTTTAGATCGTTCGATCAAAATAATTCATATTCATGCATTAATTATACCCAGAACACTATAAATAGAGCTGCATCCCTCTCGTGGGAGGAGGAAGTTTAGAGAGAGAGCCTGAGGGCTTGAAAAGAAGTTGCAGTTCAGCATCACCGTTGATCGTCGTCGACCACCACCGACCGTCGACAACGACCGACGACCTCTGTCGACCACCGTCGACCACCGTTGAACACCGTCGATCACCGCTGACCTCTGTGACCTCCCACCGACCGTCACCGACTGTTATTAGCCATCGCTCACCTCCATCAACCACCGCTTACTGGACGTCATCAGTCGACGTCATAACGTGGAAAACTAGTAACCCTTTCCCGCCTGTGGGACAAGGGGCATCTGTAATCATCATCTTATAGTGGATTTTTACAACTGGGCAAGGCCCCGTGGTTTTTCCCTTTTTATGGGTTTTCCACGTAAAAATTTCTGGTGTGATCACAACTTGATTCACTTCCTACTCTACCGCCGCGAATTTTCTAGCACGCATCAATATGAATTGGGGTTACTTTATTATGTGTTATATATTCAACTTCAAGAGTTAAATAATATATTTGATGAGATAAACATTGAGCTATTTTTGAGCATCAATTGTTTGAACCTATGTGAGACATTTTGTGCTTTTGGCACAAACATTTGAATATCTCGTCAAATTTTGTCCTCACGATTTCTCAAATGTAGATCTTCTGATGCTAAATAGTCAACTTCAAAAATATAAATAATATATTTTTGTCTCAAATAGTAAAGAATATATATATATATATATATATATATATATATATATGTATATATATA